TCAGTTGCCGATAATCCACGCAAAATCTCTGAGTTCCGTCCTTTTTCTTTACGAGTACAATGTTTGAAGCCCATGGACTATCAGTTGGTTCAATAAGACCTTTCTGTAGTAGCCCTTCCACTTGCTCCTTGATTTCGTCTCTCTGCCCAAAAGGGTGCTTGCGTGGTCGTTGTCTAATTGGTCGCTGAGTTCCAGTATCTATCTTGTGTTGTACCAAATTAGTCCTTCCAATATCATCATCTCCTCTTGAGAATACATCCTGAAATTCCGTCAATAACTTTGCCACGTCTTGGCGATACTGATCTGGTATTCCTTCTGTACTTCTCTTTAGCAAATCCCTCAAATGTTCCGGAACTTTTCCATCACCAACAGTGGTGTACTTGGGGACTTCTTGTACTTCACTTGTATCTATTACGGTCATCATAGCGATTGGTGTGTTCTTCTTTATTACTTTGTTGGAAGTAGATGGGTTGAATACTCTAACAGGCACTAACTCCTCCCCTGTCTTGATTAGAGTTCTAGCTGTAATGAGTCCTTTCTTCACTAATTGTTGTTGAACATTTCCAGCCTCTATTAAACCTAGGGTGTTAGATTTAATTCGATCTCCTTCCTTTATTGATCCAAGTATTACAGCTTCATGTCCTGCGGGGATTGTAGTAGTTTCTGACGCAGTTATGCGGCAGGATAGTCTTTCTCCACTTTCATTCTTGCACTCTACTTTGCCCCATTTTGTGGTGAGTTGGAAATTAGTCAGATCAATGCTAGCCCCCATTTTTGTTAGATTGTCCAAGCCGAGGATTCCATCACTACTCACATCTGCTACCAAAACTGTAATTACTCCTTTATTTGGTCCTATCTTCATCTCATGAGTTATTGCTCCATAAATGGCTAATGGTGAACCATCTGCTAACTGTGCACTTATGCTACGATGTTGCAGAGGGGGTCTATCTTTTTCATCTAATTGTTCATATGATCGTCTAGAAATGTAAGAATCTGAAGCACCAGTATCAACTAGAAATTTGTATTCCTTGTCCTGAATGTGCACTGGAACATACAGACCATCAACATTTTGATTTATACTGGGTATGAAACTTGTCTTTGTTTTGCTAGTTTGGGTCTCAATTAATTTTGGACGATTGGCCGCGCCACGACCCTTTGGGGCGACCACTTGTCGTTTGACTGACGCTGATATCTTTGTCTTGACCAGTTAGATTCACCACTTGGATAGTTCCTTCCTCTTTGATCCATTTGTTTCTCACGGCATTCCCTTGCGAAATGGCCAGGTTTCTCACAATAGAAACATGTTTGGGTTTTCACATCAAATCTTCCTTCATGCGCTGTTTGGCTTGGTCTTTGATTAGTTCCTGGTTTCTTCACATATCCCTGACATCTTTCCTTGTTAGGTTGACTTTCCATAGCTTGGCCTAGGAATTTGTTGACTTCATCTTTGATCATCTTCTCTAGATCCACTTCAGAGCCGATTCCTCTATTGTAAGTAGGCTTAACCTTCCATCCATTCCTCTCAGTCTCCGTCTGTAGAAATGTCTCAGTGGTTATTGCTGCTTGAATTACCTCATCTAAGCTTGTTGCCTTAGCATGAAATATTCCCATACGAATCTCACTACTACGAATAGCATCAGTAAAATGAATCCTAGCTAGTCTATCGACCCCTTGACTTTCAAAGTTTGGATATGCCTTATCAGTTAGTTCCCTAATATGACGTCCTAGTTCCTGAAGTGATTCTCCTTGTCGTCGCTTACGATTCCTTAGTTCCAACAGATAGCTTTCTGCCTGTTTGGCAGAAGAGAACCTGAATGACAGTTTACTCTTTATTTCTTCAAAGTTCCACTTGGTGCCTCTTTGTTCTTCTAGTAATCTCAGAGCTTGACCTCTCAAGCTAGCAGCTAGATACTTGGCAGATTCCTCATCTTTCCAGTTGTTGATTTCGCAACAAGATTCAAAATGCGAGGCGTAGTCTTTCCAGTCGTTACTTCCATCATACTTGTCCGGCATGATCAGTGGTCGATGAGTAGTTTCCCGAATTCTATCTTCTTTGGCATAGCGAATATCATCATTCCTCTTTTGTGCTTTCATCTGGTTAGTTTCTTCCTTATGTTTCCTCGTCTTTGATTCATCGACATGAGATATTCCTTCCTCGTCTCCATTTTGGATTTCCTTTCCTAATTCCGGTCGTCTATTTGGTTTGAAGTTGAATTCCACTTCATCATCTGAAGAATCAGATAGTTCTTCCGTGGAGGAGTCTGAGCCAACACTCCTCTTCCTTGGTTTCTTTTTCAACTTTATCATTTGCCCCATTAACTTCGTTAGTTGGCTTAATATCCGACTTTGTAATTTCTCTGACCTACTCTTCTTTTTCTTTGAACTTTTTGTACTAGACATTGTCTCATCTGAGGAGCAACTTAGCTCATCTATTTCTTTCTTAGACTCTGGTACCTCCGCCATATTGATTATCCCACTTCTGACACCAAATTTGTGGCGGCCGCCCCCGCCCCCGTCTCCAACCTCGACCTCTACGTCGGGATTATTCTCATTCCCAGCTGGGGAAACTGATTCTTTATATCTGTCAGGATATTCGTCAGCCGACATTATTTATAATGTATGTCCGAGCGGTTAGAGTAATTAGATCTTATCTTTTATTTGAGGAAAGACGGGGGAAGCTACAATACTTATTTACGTTCGTTTCGTCGAAATATACGACTTATGACGGAGTACCAGTCAAGAAGAAAAACAAAGTGTTTATAGACTCATAATTTCAGTTTTAAGACAAAAGAAAATGGTCAATTTTTATTAATGCATGTACTTCAAATATTTACAACATCTTTATATCACCACTGTCACAAATACCTTGTGCTCATATAGTTATACTTAATGAATTTATACGATTGTCGTTATTATATTCGGATACATGTAATAAAGTAAAGGCAATGATTCATTGGGATTTATGGGACTTGGGAGTTTTCCTCTTAGTTCAATTCCATAGCTTCATAGGGGGAGAGGTGGACTTAGAATATTCCTGCATCTTAATTATAGTGGTTCATTAATTCCAGCATCTTAATTCCAGCGTAGACTTCCTTGTGTACCTTTATATTCCAGGGAGGGAGAGAGATCTTATGTGTGGTACCGGTTCCGACGAGCGCCCAATTCCAAGACAAGTCTTTAGGTGGGGGGGGGGGGGGGGGGATTTCCAGGGAGAGACTAAATAGTTCTGATTCCGACGAGCGTCCAATTCCAACTCAAGTCTTTAGGTGGGGGGGGGGGGGGGGGGGATTTCCAGGGAGAGACTAAATAGTTCTGATTCCGACAAGCGTCCAATTCCAACTCCTCTCGTTTTAGAAATGTTACGGGTTATAAAGGCATAATGCGGACGTGGGGGAAATCGATGCGCTAAGCGATCTTGGAAAGCACACGCGCAGCGAAAATGGACTTAACATGAAGACTGTGCTAGTTCAGAGCAAAATATCTAAGTAAATCTCTTATTTTCCCATTAATTATATACAACACTCTGAATGACATAGTTGCAGTAAATATTAACAAGTTACATTGTCTAAACAACTTTCCATCCAAATTCATGTGATAGATTGATAAACAATTACAGTATAACATCTTAAAGCATCTCAATAATGATCCAAATGTCAATCACTCGTATGCAAATTATTAACGTAAACATTGTGCGTCGGTGTATGATGACGCGCTTGAAAACAACAATCATTTAAGTTAGGCCTCTTTGTTACGTCACGACCGCGGAGCGGATCGTTACAATACATTAACAAAGAAACAGTTATAAAGACTTTAACAAATGTGGAAAAAGAGGTGGTCTGTTAAAAAGCACAGCTTGTTAAAACACAGATCACCTTTACAGAAACAACATTTTTTTAAAGAAAAAAAAAAAATATCCAAAATTTGACCTGTAACTCCGGCATGGAGATACCCAACTAAACATACCCAAAATTAAATAAATATTCATTAAATGGGGCCTGCCCCAGTCGTAAAAAAATAGGAAAAAAATAGGGGAAAAATAAGGAAAAAATAGTCCCGAAAATATATTTTTTTTCTATTTTTTCCCTATTTTTTTTAAAGGAAAAAATAGGGAAAAAATAGTTTTGGAAATAGGAAAAAAAAGGTTTGAAACAATTTTTTCTATTTTTTTCCTATTTTTTTCCTATTTTTCAGACCTAAAAATAGGAAAAAAATAGGGAAAAAATAGTGTAGAAAATGGTGAAGAAAATAGTAAAAAAATAGTGATAACTAGGTTAAGTGGACAGTGAAAAATAGTGAGGAAATAGGAAAAAAAATAGTGAGGAAATAGGGAAAAAATAGTAAGAAAATAGGGAAAAAATAGTAAGAAAATAGGGGAAAATAGTAAGGAAATAGGAAAAAAATAGTAAGAAAATAGGAAAAAATAGTAAGAAAATAGGGAAAAAATAGTAAGAAAATAGGCGAAATAGTAAGAAAATAGGAAAAAAATAGTAAGGAAATAGGAAAAAAATAGTAAGAAAATAGGAAAAAAATAGTAAGAAAATAGGGAAAAATAGTAAGAAAATAGGAAAAAAGTAGTAAGGAAATAGGAAAAAAATAGACAATAAGTGAGGAAATCAGAAAAAAATAGTCAGGAAATAGGGGGGGGGGGGTCACTCATCCTTTACTTTCATGGATTTCTCAAGCACTACCATCTCACACATCCAGTCAACGACTCTGTACATTCAATTAAATCATACAGTGCAAACTTGATATAAAGAGATCAGTTATACCTGAAATGACAAGGTAATTTAACAGCTTTTGGGGGTTAAGATTTCTTGGTTGCACATGACCTCATTGTCAAAAGTTTCCACTGTAGAATAGTCACCCTACTCCTACAGCTCTTTTCTCTGCATCGATGCACCTACTCAGTTTGCCAAATTCACTTCATCCTTTCAGTCCAATCCATTCAGTAGAACATTTAAAATAGTCAATGGGTATATGGAAAATGTTATACAGTCCACTCCTATTATAACGAACATGGATACACCAAGATTTTATTATCAGGCAATTCTCATCAGTCCCAATTTTAAACAAACCAATGTGTTCAGTATCTTGAGTATAACATGATTTCATTTTAACAAGGAAATTGGCTTGGTCCCGAGCACCTCGTTATAATGGCAGTGGACTGTAACAAACAAAAAGAATAAAAGGGAACGTGTCAAATAAAATACATGTACTTTATTTTCGAGAGGTAAACACAATGACATGAGTTTAGTATAGTATGTGTGTTCATGTAAGCAAATAAATAAAAGAACTTAACTGATATTTACAATCTTTGGTTAAGTACTGTAGTGTACATGTTGTAGTAATAGAGTTGTTCATGGTTTGCTATGATTATACTCTAAAAAAAAAAAACAAGACAAATGCGACTGCGTCTCCTATATGCCTCCGCCTTAAAAAAATATCATCCACCTAGAATGTAGCTTTCTATTTTTGTTCAAATAAAGTATTCAGGTGAGTTTCAGGACTATTACTGAGCCGATGTGGATATGCCAGGCGATCACAAGCTCTCTCCCTCACTAGTAACCAAATAAAGCAGTATTCTTGACATGAGAGTGTTGTTTTCTGTCTCTTTTATTACAATTTAATTGCAAAGTGCTCTTAATAATGTAATAACATTTTCAAACCTCAAGAAAATCATGACAAGTAAAAAAAAAATTCTCGTTTTTTACAAAGATAACAAAATAAAATAAATCATAAAACAGATTTTTCAACAATGCATGCATGCTCTATTGTACAGTTGACATGTTACATAATTTTCTCAATCTCAATTGAACTGTCAAAATCTTAATACAATCATCATAATCTAGAAACACTTACTACAAAATCAATGACATGTCATGTCATTGAGATATATATAAACAAGAAAATGACAGACTTACATGCTACTATTTTCAAATAGTTTTTACAAAGTATACCATCATTACCATGTATCATAAGTAATGGTCTTATGGTCCTTTATCTTCACAATATGCAGGCACTCATTGTGTACACATACATGTTGTACTTGCCTATGAATCTCAATGATTAGACATAAGAATTACATAATAAAATGGAAACAAATACTAATGTAAAGGATACAGATGTTGGTCATGCTGTTCACAGGCATCGAATGGTGATTGTACGTTACATGTACATTGTAGCTTGATTAGTTTCAATTGATCTGTAAAGATATAAATGAAATGTGAGTTAGGGGTTAGAATAATCATGCATTGGTACATTTATGAACATGCAATTAATACTTAGTACAAGTATTTATGTATTTCATAATGAAAAATTCAAAGGCACAGAACATGCGTGTACAAAAGTATGATAGCAAAAAAGATGCCAGGCTGACGACGAACGGATGGTGAAACAACGGAGTCATCAAAGAGCTGTCAAGGTGCATGAAATGTAAACCACTCAGGTAGGCAATTAATTAGAGTTATTTTATTCTTAGATATATTAGGTGAACATACATAAAATAAAACATAAAACACAGAAAAGAAAATAGTAAAGGAACAATTTGTTGAAGAAAAAAATAAAAAGGAAAGAGAAAAATAATGTAGATCTAGGTAGAACTTGTGCCACCTGCAAATTATTGTTCTAGCATAATGATGAGGTAAACTACTCTAATAGTAATATTTTGATGTCAGATCTTAACTAACAAACGTGAAATAAATAAACCCCAAAAAATTATCAACAATAGATTTAGATTTCTACTTAGTAAGGACATACCTCGCAGACACACTCTCGGACTTGGAAGACTTGCTCTTCTTCTTGCGTGCTTGCGTGGTGCTTTAGCAGGTTGTGTTTTCTGATTCCTAGAAAAATAATTTGAGATACAATTTAGCCTAAAACCACATCAAAACATTATATCATGCAAGGCAAAATAATTGACAGACGTAGTAATGGTACAAAATCTGAAATTTTTTACGTGGATTTATTGTAATCACGTTTGTTTACATTCACTCATTCACTAACAGACACTACACTGCACTTGGAGATTCACTACACTTCACTAAGATTAGAAGTTGTGTAGTCTACAACCTCAACACTAGTAGGCCTACATGGGAATATTGATACGTAAAATAACATTCTATAGGCCTATTATGTCTATGAAGTAGCATTATATTCAACAACAGACACAATAAAAATATATATATCATAATATAATTAAGTTTCAGAAATAAACGTACCTTTTCAGCTGTTTTCTGGGGCCAGTTCCGCTCGTCGATGGTCCGTAATTCGACAACAAACTCGTTTCTCTACGAGTGGGACTAGTAGTAATATTTTGAACATTTGTCGGGCTCATTTTCTTGGGAAGAATCACTAAAATGGGATAAGGAGGCATCGGAGTATGAGGAGTCACTATCTCTTGATGAAATTTCATCGCTAGAATAATTGCTGGAAGACATTTTGGTGTGATTTGGAGACGTTTGATGAACGAAAATCAGCAAAAGTCCGATGCGCACAGCAGTGCCAGTGGGGAAAAAAAATAACGGGTAATTTTCAAATTACGTACTTGCGTACTGTCCTCTACGTTGAAACTTTGCGCACACATAGAACGGGAATATCTCGATCGAATGCTTTTTTTTCTATTAATAAAGGAAATTTTTTTTGGTTGAAATTTCTATGTGTACATTTTCTTTTTACACATGGTTTATGTATGGTTATCTTTGAGTGCACTAGTCACTACTATAGTTTGTAAATAAAATCAAGAATATTAATAAAGGAACAAAATTGAAATTTCGTACATTTTCTTTTTACACATTGTTTATTTATGGTCATCTTTGAGCTCACTATTCAATATGTGACCCCACAGCTAAAAACAACCAATAAGTCGCAAAATGAACAACAGAGATAATGGCAGGAGAAGCGGGCTTTTTGAATAGGATGCCAGTCATAAACAATGAAAATATGCAAGTTTAGAAAATAGACAAAAATAGTTTACAAATTTGTATCATGTCATAAAAAATTTAAGTGCAAAAAATAGGAAGAAAATAGTACTCGCAAATAGGTAAAAAGAAGTCTGAAAAAGATAAAGGTGAAAAAATAGGGAAAAAATTGTCTGAAAAAGATTAAGGTGAAAAAATAGGGAAAAAATAGTCTGAAAAAGATTAAGATGAAAAAATAGGGAAAAAATAGTCCTATTTTTTTTGAGAAAATAGGCAAAAAATAGTCTGAAAAAGATGAAGGTGAAAAAATAGGGAAAAAATAGTTTGGTACTCGAGAATAGGAAAAAATAGAACTATTTTTTTTCTATTTTCTTTTAAAAAAATAGGAAAAAAATAGTCCACAAAAGTTGAAGGTAAAAAAAATGGGGGAAAAATACTTTGTGCTTGAAAATAGGAAAAAAATAGGACTATTTTTTTCCTGTTTTCTTACAGGAAATAGGAAAAAAATAGTCTGAATAAAAATATAGGTGAAAAAAATAGGGAAAAAATAGTTTGTACTTGAAAATAGGAAAAAAATAGGACAATTTTTTCCCTGTTTTTTTATAGGAAATAGGAAAAAAATAGTCTGAAAAAAAAATAAAGGTGAAAAAAATAGGGAAAAAATAGTTTGTGCTTGAAAATAGGAAAAAAATAGCCCTATTTTTTTCCTATTTTCTTGAAGGAAATAGGGAAAAAATAGTCTGCATTTCCAGAAAATAGGGAAAAAATAGGAAAAAAATAGGGAAAAAATATATTTTCGCAACACACAAAACTACTAGGGTGTCACCACGAAATGAGTCCAGTTGGTCAAAAATTTTATTCCTGTTTTTAAGTATTATATGAATCTACATTAAGTAAGCTTTAAATTAAGGGGTCACACATTAAAATTGATAAATTATATCCAGAAATATGAACAAAAACCTAATTGGACTTTATAAACAATGGGATTACCCAGTTTTTAGATAATTAGGTGTAAAGTTAATAATGCGTAACATAGCCTATATTATTTGCCAAAAAATGTTAGAAGGAGATATTTTCGTGACCTAAGCTCTGGGGACATAAACTACAAGACATTAATAAGTCGATTTTTGGAAAAATCTTAAATGTGGTAGGTGGGTCAGTTTTCAGTACATATACACACTATACATCGCTATTACTACGATTGAGCCTATAATGCGACACTGGACTCATTTCGTGGTGACTGGCCCCAAATGTCAAAATAAAAGTCGTCATGATTGTATACAGTCTATGCACTATTGTGTGGTGTGTGTATTTGTGTATGGGTCTAATAATAACTGCCTCACACTCACAGCAAGCATGCAGTGCTAGAGGTCAATACGCATTAGCATTGACTCTCTATGCTTTGCTGGAGTGATGATAATGCACATGTACCATCTTAGGCCTATATGTGAGACCAAATAAACCTTACAATATATAGATTAAACCTATTTTCATTATTTGTTTCTTTTTCTATCAGAGACTGATTGAAGGTCTAATTATCAGCAAACCACAGGATCCATTGGATTATCTCCTTGAACAACTGAAGAGAGAAAATGATGACAGTAAGTATTTAATGCAGATAATTAAAATAGTTTTTTGTCATTGTTATTAAGATCATGATAATGCTGATGGTGATGATCATGATCACTGTTATCTCATCATCATCATCATCATCTTTTTCATCATATTGTTATTGTTGTCGTTCTTGTTCTTATTGCTAGTAGTAGTAGTAGTAGTATTAGTAGTAGTAGTAGTTGTAGTTGTAGTAGTATTAGTAGTAGTATTAGTTGTAGTAGTATTAGTAGTAGGGTAGCGCGCCCAGTATTCGGTCCATTCCCAGTATTCGGTCAGACAGCCGTTTCAACAGCTGTAACAATTTAAAAAATAATTTATGAGCCACGAAACTTGCACAAATCAGGCAGCTGAACAAATTTTCTTAACTCTCAAAATTAAATCAGATTTAGGGCCCCGGAAAGATCTCCAACTTAGCTCGAAATTGGTCAGTGTCGCACAACTTTCTGCACTTCCGCGTTCTGTTAGCACATGCGCTAACATGCATAGCCATATGTAGAAGTCTATTGCGAAACAACTACGTGTGCTGTCGCAATGAATTTAGTATGTTTGTGAAGAGAATCACTTCCGTGTTCACTCCATCGCAGCGAATTTGCAAATGACGCACTTGCCGATGTGCAAGAGGTATTTATACGATACCCTTACCATGCGGTATCGCTCGTCCAGTATTCGGTCAACGCATTGACATTCAGTGCTTTATCACGCAATTGTGTGAAAATAGTGCGCAAATACGCTTCGCTCCTTCGACCTTGGCAACGGAGATACCACGCACAAATCGCGTGACCGAATTCTATTCTGCGCGACCGAATTCTGGGCAGAAAAATGCTCCGTCTTCTTTCGGAAGTATTTTGCTTATCATTATTCTATATTTTAAGTGACTATAAAATCCTGTTAGGGGAATAAATTTCTTTTCTTTTGATGGGTAGATTGCCAAATAAAAGAGGTAAGAATTCAAAATATTAGCGATTTCCCCGTGACCGAATACTGGACGCTCTACCCTAGTAGTCGTAGTGGTGGTGGTGGTGGTGGATATGTAACAAATAATCAGGATGGAAAAAATGTGAAGTAAATCCAAGATAGAACACACATGTATGCCACATGTATGTCAATCAAGCATGCCATGCACTAAATGTACATATTGTACATATGTGTCCATTAAAAATCATAGTTTTTAAGTGTAAAAGAATAATGTCTGTTGAAACATGTACATGTAGTTGCATGTCAGAGTCATTATTTTTAGAGGCATTGAGATACCGATGGGGGGTTTACTCAGCAATGTACAAATAGAGTATGAATGTCTGTAGACACTTTGAGGATAGTGCATAATTTATTCATCAATCATTTCACCCTCTGCATTTGTCCAGCTCCAGCAATTGTTATTCATGGTCCTCCAGCATCGGGCAAGACGACCATAGCTCGCTTGGTGTCCAATCAGCTGAAGGCAGCTTATATCAGCAAAGAGACTCTCTTAGCAGACGATGTGTCAACCGCCGCAGCTAAAGCAAGAACTTGCCAGTCCAGCGGAGAGGTATTGCATTATATATGTGTATTGGTTGTAGAACTTGTAGGTCTCTAGAAGAGTGCCATAGGTGTTAAAGATAAAGACCAGTTCTGGTCATGCGATTGCATTGTGAAAGAAACGTTGTGGAATCGATCAGAAAAGGTTGATCATCTAGCATGTAAGTATTAGTGTGTACAAAATGATAAGAAATTTGGCCCAGTCTTGGTAAAGTTACAATCACTGTGCACAGAAAGATGTATATGGGACTACGCGACACGTGCACGACACGTGCGCGATATCTATCAGGTCCAAATTGATATAATAATTTACCAAATATATCAACTAGTAGACAGTTTCTCTGCAAATTTGTATCATCACGTATTAGTCAAAACATATTCTTTCACATGATTGGTAAGAAGAGCTTGCATTTCATTTTTTGAAAGGGGGGCGTTTCCAAAACTGGTCTTTACCTTTAAGGGCAAGCTTTGGTGGACTGTCAGAAGAGCACCGTATAGCCAAACTTTAAGGGGAACTCCTTCCAAATGATAAGTTGATTGTGATAGAAGCACACAATTAAAGAAACAGATCAGTGCATGAAAGAATGAGAGAAATCTGATGAAAAGTAATGAATTTATGGATTTTTAAAAGTGGAAATGCATCAAACACAAAATGACAACTCTGCGACATACCTTTCAAGGTCCTGTCCCATTTTGTCTGTACTGAAAAGCTAAGAAAATTATATTTTCCCAAAAGAAATATTAAATCAATAAAATCATACATGTGCCCTAGATGTAACCATTGCACATGTTTACACAACCCCTGTATAAATCTCTCTCTTCATCAACAACTAAAGTAAAGGGAATTTATTAAATATTCTATTGTTATTATAACATCTCAGTAAAATGAAAATTTATAACATCTCTTAATATCTGTTAATTTTTTTTTCCAGCCAATCCCGACAGAGTTGTGGGTTGAGCTGATCAGGAACAGAGTGAAGCTGTTTGATTGCATCAGGAAGGGATGGGTCTTAGATGGGTTCCCGGACACCAGAGAACAGGCCCTGGCCCTGCAGGAGATCGGCATCAACCCTAAACATTTTGGTAAGCAAGAGAGGGGATGGAAAGAGAGAAAGAGAGGGGGTGGGAGAGAGAGAAAGAGAGGGGGAGGGAGAGAGAGAGAGAGAGAGAGATGGGGGAAGAGAGAGATGGAGGGAGGTAGAGAGAGAGAGATAGGATTGAAAATAGGAAAAGAAATAAAAATGGAGAGAAAAAAGAAAGAAAGAAAGGAAATAAAAATCAGGGAGCCGGGAGAGGGAAGGGAGGAGTAATGACTGTAAGAAAGGGAGGCTTAGTTATGGATGTGGATGGAATGAGAAAAGATTGGGAGAGAATAGCAGACGGGAGAGTAGAGAGGGAGAAACGAGAGGGTGAGAGAGGATGTGAGATGGCAGAGACAGAGATGGTAGAGAAAGACGGAGAGAGAGAGAAAGAGAGAGAGAGAGAGAGAGAGAGTAGCATACAGAGAATAGGAATAAGAGGAAAAGAAGAGTTGGGGAATAGAGGTCTGGGTGTTTGGGTGGAAATGAATAGGCAGTCAATAATTAAGGATGAAGTTTATATTTCATTTTCACCAATCCTTAACTTTACCATGGCTGTCAAAAACAGATTTTCCCTGTGCATTTGGAATACATATTTCCTCATCAAAGTGCTTGCAATTAAAAAAAAAAATATGCTGTAGAATCGGTTACCCACCCTAGATGATTGATACTTTATAGCTATTTTTACAGATACATTTTATTATTTTAATGCAGTTGTTTTGGAAGCTCCAGACACAGTGCTGATTGAGAGACAGATGGGCAAGAGGATTGATCCCGAGACAGGGGGTAAGTTTTCCTCTTAATTATCTCCAAAGCTGGTGCTTTGGTGCTATGGTGTCCAGAGGGAGAATAAGGGGAATATGAGATTTACATGTACACCATTGCATTGCAGTTGTTTGCTGCATAATGATTAATCAGACAGATATCAAGTAGTAAGC